ATGTTCATCAAGAAGTTAGAGGCAAACAAGAAGGTAAGGCTCCTAAAGCTCTCAATGTATCCGGCTGGAAGGTTGCCAAACCAGTGCTGGGCTATTCGCTTCAATGTAGCTAGGATATATCGGCACTACATTGCATCTTCCAACACATGCATGTGCATTAGGTTGGTGTAGGCCATGAGGTGGTCCTCATAGGCACAAAACAACACATTCTTAACCATGGCCGACTGTGCTGCCTCTGTTATCTCCTTGGCGAACATAGAAATTTGTTCACCAAGTTTAAGCAGACGGAGCTGCTAGTCCAAGGGTTTGATATTATATGTCGCTTGTCCCCCAAAGAGGGTCGACTTCATGAAATGAGGGGTGTACTGCCTGTATGGAATCTGAGGCACATACGGGGCTGACCCAATCATCTGAGGGCCAGTATGAATGGACTTATCGCCTGTATGGGTCTCATACAAGGACTTAGAATTCTTGCGGATGTATTTTTTTAAGCAGTATGGAAAGCTAGATGTAGAGGCTGACTTAGACAGTTGGTGGCTCCGGTTGTGCTCGATGATGTGTTGAGCATCGGAGAAGGTTTTCTTGCTGTCATCCGGCTGAACAACTCGGATGACCTTTCTTTTGCCCGTCTGGGGCATAAGAATCTTAGTCCAGTCAATGGAAGGCGTAGTCTTCTCTTATGGACGTGGAGTAGGCTGCCTGTCTCTAAATGACTTCCTCCTCTCAACTTGAGGAGTCTTCTTGGCCGACTAACCCTTGTTAGAACCCGCCATCCTCTTGTTTATCAGGTCCTTGATTTCACCCTTAAAACTTGGCATGAATTTCATGAGTCCATCCTGGGTTATTGAAGCCTTACCCCATGCCGCCTTGGTGTTACCAGGCAGTGGTCCAACAATCTTGTTGGTACTAGCTTCATTGTTAACTCGTTCCAGCTTGTCTTTGGAACGGATGTGTTTAGAAATAAGTGATCTGTCAGCAGCCATGTATGTTTTGACGTCCACGTCGTGGTTATCTTCATGGTATGTAAAGACCTCCCCATCAACTATAGGACGGTTGGGGTCTTGCGGCGGTACAGACTCTTGAACCATCTTTGAGGTAATCTCCCCACAGACGACACCAAATGTTTTGGGTTTTTTTCCCCTCCGGAGAGTAATAGCTCGAAGACTGGTCTAGCACGGTCCGTACATGAAAAACACGGAGACTCCGATTGGTAGGGGCTCCGCCTCCGATGATCAAGTTAGAACGTGTTGGAGAATGTAAAGAGCGTAGAAAGATAAAGTGAGATCTTCTTGGATTCCAAGATCAGGTTTTTTCTTTGATGAGAGATAATGTAAGGTAGTGTAATTAATGAACGTGTCCTCAAAATAGGGGAAATATCCTTATTTATAGGGTCATGGGAATACATGCTCATTAGCTCATTTTGACCTAATGGGCTGTGCCGTTTTGCGACTTTCTCGGGAAATTAGCCTTGAAGGCCGCAATTCCAACTAATATCTAAGGCTGACACGTGTCAGCTGGTGAGTGGCCCATATTGGACCTTCCCAGGCTTGACACTAGCTCTCTAATTGGGCCACGTGTCTAGGGTATTTTTAACTTGTTTGTGTTGTGGTGATGGTGTTGAAGTTGTTGTCGGGAGCATAGGGTTAGGTTTGAGGTAGAGGTGGTTTTCTTGTGGTACATCTTTGTTTGCTTCCTCAAAGCACTTGATTTATGAGGCTGAGTCGTCTCTTTACTCGGCTCCACTTTTACTTGATTTGGTTTTTTCGAACCGACGTCCTTCTCCTTAATAGGCTTTGTAACACCCAAATTTAAAATTTTGTTGAGATTTGTTTACTTTGATTTTTAAAGGAAGTTGATCAAAGCTTGACTCGAGGTAGGGAGATTTGACATGTTAATATTGAAGAGTCTTGCACTATATGGAAGAATATTGTAAAAGGATAACAAGTGCAATATCGGACCCAATTAAGTAGCCCACGATCAAGGAAATATGTGGCATTTAGCCTATCAAAGTTAAATTCAAAAGTGATGGTTGGCACCAAGGAGAAAAACCGTGTAGCAATTGAAAGATGATCACGAACATATTTTTAAAAGTCCTTCTCTTATAAAAAGTGGAAGAATCTCAAAAGAAAAGAGTCAACTAACAAAAACATTCCATTTTCTTTATGCTTACTTTAGCACTTTCTTAGCTTTCCCTTAGCGATAGTTTAGAATTACTTAGTATGTATTAAAGATCACTCGATTATTCCAATTGTATAGTACAAATTGTAGCCTGATTTTATCTTTTAACTAATGAAAAGCATTTACCTCTTTTGTCAATGTTAATACATTAGTTCTTTAGTAATTCAATTCAAGTTTAACTAATTTTACGGATAACCTCTTTACTTTATTGTTGTTTTACGTGAGCGAGGTTATCAAAGTGTAACTAGTGATAGTAGGGGCAACCCCTTAATATCCTAGAACATGAAATGGTATTTGACTAGTTGGTAAATAACAATATTTACCTCAACAAGCTTTTTGGCGATCACATACAGTGGGAGATCCTGGCCTTAAACTAAATCCATGTTACTTTATGTATTTGAAAGTTATTTCATGGCTCCCAAGTGTTCTGCCCATAAGGGAACAAATTAGTAAGGATCATCAAGATCTAGAAAATCCACTTCAAATTAATGATACCATACACTCTTCTAAACTACTCAAGCCTCACACACAAAGACAAGAGGAGTTACATCTCAACAAAGAGAAAGTCATTCCTCCACTAGAAATTCACTTATTACTATATATACAAAGTACGTCAATATTGTACAAAATCTAATGAGGATTTAAAAGAAAACCAGTTATTGGTCGGACGGTGCCTTTAAGCACTATAACTTTTTAATTTTGAACAAAATTAAATTTAAAAGGTATACAACAATATTTATAAGTAAATGAAAATATAATAATAAATAAAATCAAGGTCGACTAAAGACCTGTGCAAACAGACCTTTAGCATAGGGCTATGAGGCCCATTTTGTGGAAACCTAACTTTTAACGTTTTAAAACAAAAAAATTAAATTTAAAAAAAAAAAAAAAAACTTTGTCTTACTATGCTAATGGAGTCAATTATCTTCCATTTTCTTACTTAATTTACTTCCACTAATTCAAATTCTCAGACTATTCTCCACCATAAAGTGATCCTAATTTTCTTAAAAACACTAAAATTTTCCAAATTCTTTCATTCAGTTCTTTTCGATAATTAATTTTCTTGTTCTACCCAAAAGTTTAATTTATCAATAAGGTTCTTGCCTTCCGCTATTTATTACAATGGTTATGAGAAGATTTTCTCAGTCATTTTGAATCATTTTAAGAGAGGAATTAGTTTGTAGTTTTTACTATTAAATTCTTAATTTTTGTATATCAACAACATCAAATTTTTACCGCCATATTTCTTCTTTCAATATGATATCATATTGAAATAAATTTTGAGAACAAATAAAAAATAATAATTAAGATTCATAATACGAAGTAATAGTTAATTGGTTTAAGGGGTAAAAAACTAAATAAGGGGAATTTCCATAGCCATTATTTTCTTAAGGGAATTTTTTATAGTTCAACATCAGGTACGCATACTATAGAAAACTATTTTTTATTGATTTTTTTTTATTTTTTATATGAACTAATTGCAATTTTCAATTTTTGAAGGTGGATATTAAGAAAATGTTTGAAGGCTACTTTCAAGTAAATCTTTATTTATTTTGATTTAGAAGTTGTTAATACCTATATACCAATTGTTCAATATGTTTATACAAAGTATAATGAATTACTAAATTTGCGAAAAAAATTATTGAAAATGTTCTAATCTTATCTTTTCATTATTAAAATAATTTCTTATAAAATTTGTACTTTAAATTAGGGCCCAATATATAAGGTTAGAACAGAGCCCCTAAAACATTTTAGGTGACCCTGAATATAAGATTAATAGGTGCTAATTTTATTCATTTTACTTTACATAATACTCTCTCCACATATGCGGAGATATAAGAGAGTTATTTGCTTTATTACAAATGTTATGCAAGTAGGTGATTGATTTATTTTGATAAATGTATAACTTGGACTATGAAAAAGATAGCATGTGAGAGAGAATAATTTTTTTTAACCATAGTTATAGGGAACATGAAAGAGAGTGAGAGAGAAATGGCACTCCATCTGTTTTATAATGTTAGTCCCGTTTTGAATCTTTTTACTATTAAAAATTTGTGAGAATATGTAAAATCTCTCTCTATATATGAGAACAAATATAGTCGTATGAGTTATAGTTTTATTCTGCTTGATGAGTACATTTTTAATATCTAATTTTTATAATTTTTGTTAGTGTAAAATTTAAGATATTTGCGATCAAAGATTTGCATTGATATACGTAAATGAGACTAACATTATGAAACGGATTGAGTAAAATATTTTAGGTGGTGTTTTAGGAAAGTGAGAAAAATAATAAAATATAATATATAATTACCAAATACAGAAACGATGACACATGTTAGTAGCATGTGTTCCGTTTGCATTTTAATAATTAGATAATAGAGAGTGGTTTGTTAACTACAAAGTATAAAAAGACAAACAAGAAATGAGAAACTACCATTATGAACTTAATATTTTTTTTAGAGAGAGTAATGATCGAACTGACATGTGTCATTAATTATGTCAACTTTAATTTTAGTAACAAATTGAAAAATCATATCTTATAGTTAAGGAAATAATAGATCTTTTATTAATATTTCAATTTGAATTGACCTTATTATTGAAAAAATAATGGTTGTTTTTAATTTATTTCTAAAAATAAGCTAAAAAGTTGAGTAAAAAAAGATACTTTTGATTTTGATTTTTATTATTATTAAATGCTCACATCAATATTAAATTATATTTTATTGTGGTTTGGGGATCACAATATAAAAGTAGGTACATTATATGTATTGTTACTCTATCATAAAACTTAAAGCATTTTGAAGGGAAAAATCTTTTGATAAATGGCCAATTTTTTTGCGAAATCTTCAATTTTCTTAGCATTGTTAATTTTCACCTTGCTTGTCCACCTCGCACATTTATCTGAGTCTTATATCGAAAGTGATCGCAAAAAGATACTAATTGCTAAAGGCTGGTGTAAGTATGATCGTGAAACAACTGTTTCCATTGTGAATCACTTGGCAACAAATGAGTCACTAACCATACATTGCCAATCAAAGAACGATGATCTTGGTATTCATATCCTAAGTTATGGACAAGTATATAGTTTTAAGTTTAGGCCTAATATTTGGGGAACTACTCTTTATTTTTGTGGATTTACATGGAGTGGTGGCTCCAAAGTTTGTGATGTTTACAAGTATAGAAGAGATAGGTTGAGGTGTTGTGGAGATGTTCGTTGGGAAGTTCAACGCAAGGGCATATCTAGTCCTAGTACCTTTGGTAAAGGTCACGAGGTTTTTTATCCTTGGGATTGATTGTTTTGAATTAATGGCTTGGCCTTGGTGAACCAAAGTTTAATGCTTTTTCTCATAAATCATATGCATGACTTATCCGGTAAACAAATGAATAAAGTTATAGCTAGCTATATTTGGTAACAAGAATAATTTTGCTTTATTATATTATTATACTATGAGGTATTTGACTCGTAATTTCTCTCCTTAATTATAATTCCAACTAATGAATTATTGTTTAGTCTTATTGTTTATATAACAAAAAAATTTACCTCTAAGAGCATTCGTAATGATTATAGTCAGGGACTTGTTTTCAATTTTCAAACTTCCTTAACTAATAGATTGACCATTAGGAGATAAATTATATAATTAATTAGCTTCGCCAACCAATGTAATACCTTGGAAATTTCCTCCTTTCAAACTCCCTTTTTACTCTTAAGATGACTCATTTTAATTAATAACCAAAATATTACCACCACCATCCTTTTCTCAAAAAAAAAAAAAAAAACATAAATAAATAAAATTACCACCACCGTGGTAGCAGTACAGCTAAGGCTTTTCAGATTCACACAACATAATGATGATGATGATAATGATAATGATAATGATGATGATGATGATGATGATGATGATGATAATAATAGTAGTAGTAATAATAGTAGTAATAATAGTAATAGTAATAGTAATAGAAATAATAGTAATAATAATAATAATAATAATAATAATAATAATAATAATAATAATAATAATAATAAGCAAATTTTTCCAACAACTACTATGTAAATAACTACTTTTGAAAAACAACTACCATTTTAATTTTACAACCAAAACACAAAAAATTTGATTAGCACTACCACATTTATTGTTTCCGGCAAGAATCTCTGTTTTGAGGGAATATTTTATAAAATTTCCCTCTAAAAAATCCAAATTAAATAACAAAATTGCTCTACATTAACTCTAAATTTGATAATACACTTCAAATATCCCAAATCCCTAATTTTAGGCCTCTATTTAATTTTTTGACAATAAATTCTAATTTTAAGATTTAAATGAGAAATTAAATAAAATATAATGCAAAATTAAAGATAAATGACCTATAATTGTGTTTGATTACCGAAATAACTTGTTTTCTATGCCACAATTGATTGATATTCTATAGACTAGATCTCTTAATAAGAAATTTTTGCCGGAAAAATTAAACGTGGTAGTGCTACTCAAATGTTTTGTGACTTTGTGGTAGTTTATTTTAAAAGAAAATTTTAAATGATGGATGTTCTCAAAAGTGGTCGTTTAAATGGTAGTTGTTGGCGAAATAATAATAAAAATAATAATAATAATAATAATAATAATAATAATAATAATAATAATAATAATAATAATAATAATAATAATAATAATAATAATAATAATAATAATAATAATAATAATAATAATAATAATAATAATAATAATAATAATAATAATAATAATAATAATAATAATAATAACAGCGGAAATTTCATGAAATGCCCCTGAGTAATTTTTTTTATTCCCAAATACCTGTGAAAATTTTCAAATTCACCAAATACCCATCAGTTACCGTACATTAGCATTAAATGCCCTTTTACCTAACTGACGTTAACTCCCCGTTAGTAGTTTTTTGTATTTCACCATATAACCATATTATAAGAATGTTTTTCACCATATACCTAAACTTAAAGATCCTTTTTTCACCATTCGGCCCGAAAATTTTGCTGGAAATTTTTGAAAAAAAAAACTAGCTGTTGGCCTTTAAAACAAAAAAAAAAACGGCTAGTTCCTTTGGCTTATATATTGAATCCTCTCTTACTTGATATTTCTTATCCAATTCAAGCATGATTTCACAAACCTCTTCTTCGTCTTATGAATCTTCATATATTAGAGTTCCTAATAAAACATGTTCTTGTGGAAAAAAAATATGCAATTCGAAGTTCAGAAACAACAAAAAATCCCCAAAGGTTATACTACCAGTGCAATGCATGTCACAACTGAAGCAAACTGAAGCAATAGATGAAGGTGCTCAAGAAAAAGATGCAACAGCAGCAAAGATTAGTTAATGTAGCAATCAAAATAGGGGTTGTAATGTTTGCAATCATTGTATTTGTAACATTTAAGTGACTTAATAAAATTTTTACAGCAAAGTGTAAAATAAAAAGTGCTTTAATTACATATGATTATGTTTTTGTCCAAAAAAAAAACCACATTCTACCACCTACTGACATCAAATATAGGAACTTGGTTTCAATTTCTTTACAAAAAAAATATGGCAGTGGTAGACTCACAAAAAGTTATGGCAGATGTGAACTAAGCATCTTGAGTGCTTCTTGTTTTCCTCTGCTTTGATGGAGGTTAGTGAGAGGTGCTTCCACCATCAGTTTGTGCCTTCCTTTTTCCCCCATTTCCTTTTCCTTGTCTAGCAGCACCACTTCCAACTGTGCTCTTGTTCTTGCAAGTTAAAGCATTATGCCCCAACTCCTTACAGATTCCACATTTGTTGTTCTTGTGCCTATTGCCTTTCCTTGCTTCATGTGGGCCCCTTTTTCTCTGTTTTGCTGGTCTGCCAGCACTTCTCTTGACTGGTGGGGGCAGATTGTAGGAACATCAAAATTTGGCCACTGTGTGGGGTCAGCCATAGGGTGGATATGCTGGGCATAAGTTGCTTTGTAAGCAGCCCCTTTGAAGTATGGTGAAACAAATGTGGTGGGTTCCAATCTTTGGTGGTATATCACCCTTAAGCCATGCTTAGAGGGAATGCCAGAACCTTGCCATTTGCCACACCCACAAGTCATCAAACCCAGATTGACAGGGAATTTCACATGCCTATCTCTGACCTCAAACTCCCTCCCCTCACAAGAAGTAACATGAAAAAATCTAGTGTCATCACTTCTACTTTGGAGTATGTTTTGTGCATGCTATGTCAGTTGATGAGGTTCCATGTCTACAGCCTTGTCAAATATTTCTCCCACTCTCTTCATCACCCAATTTCTTACAGCTTCATCATACAACACATAATTAGCGTCATATAACAACAACAATGCATAACAACAAACAAGGCTATATTAGATGTACCTTCAAGTAGTGTCAGCATAGGCAAGTCTCTAAAATCCTTTGTCTTGGAATTGAAAGACTCGACAAAGTTTGTTGTGCTGTGATCACAACAAACTTTGGTGTCAAACATCTTCCTTGACCATTGCTCTGGTACTTCCCTTAAGTACACCTCAGCTGCAGTAGCATGCTCCTTGATTTTTGTCATTGCTGTCTCAAACACATACTCATTGTATGCATCTGCAGCTATCCAAAAAATTTTATGAAAAGCTAAACCACTCCACCCTGCTATTTTGCAGTTGGAGTATAGATGTTGGCAACAAATCCTCCTTGTTGCCTTTGGGTACACATCATGTATTGCAGCATCAACTCCTTAATTAAGCAACAAAGACAAAGATACACAAATTTAGGAACTATATGATGAAAATGTATGATCAAAATGAACAGAAACAAATATTATGTAAGCTTACCCTCATTCTGTCAGAAATAAAGGTCCAGTCATCTTTATGACAACTTTCAGTTGCAAACAGGCATCTTAGATTTCTGAAGAAATATGTCTAGCTCTCAGTGCTTTCAGTGTCAACTATCCCATATGCAATCACAAATATTTTAGTATTGGCATCAATACTAACTGCAGTCAACATAATCCCTTTGTAGTAACTACTCAAATATGCTCCATCTATCCCAATTATGGGCCTACACCCACCATAAAATCCTTTGACAGATGCAGCTTAGGAAAAAAGCAAGCTTTGAACTGAGGTGCTTGGTTGCCAGTGTTTGCTGTCCATGTTATGAGTGCATAAGAGCCTGGGTTTGTGGCCTTAATCATCTTAGCATATCTAGGCAGTAAGGCATAGATCTAAGCAAACCCACCATGAATTTGAACCCTAGCAACTGCCTTGACCTTATAGAACAACCTTTTCTTCACATTCAACCTAAATATTTCCATGCAAATCTTTTGTAGTGACTTTACAGGGATCTCAGGATTTGCCTCTAGATCTTGTAATAGATGTCTACATAACCAGTCAGTTGAAACCATGGGATTCTCTTCCAATCTTCCACATGTATTGTGCTCCCCAGTTAGAGTTTTAATGGCCCAACTAACATTGTCAACCAAAACAGTAGCATGTATCCTCCAATTGCAAGTCTCAACCACACACCTTGCTGTGTATCTCCAGCTGTCAGCTTTGTCCACAGTCACTGCACACCCTTCTTGAATGCAGAAATCTCTAAATACTTTCATAAGTTGAGCCTTGTTCTCAAAAATCAACCATGGCTCTAAAACTATAGAACCAAACTCTACTCCTGCCCTAAATTTTCCCATTTTTTACAACTTATCAAACTTATGACTCCCATCTATATAATATTCAAACTTTTTCTCTCTCAACTCTTCAATATCATCTAAAACATTATCATCCTCATCTTCAATGAAGTCTAGGTCACTCACATTCTCATTATCTTCATCAACATTAGAAAGTACATAATCATGATCCTCACTATCATCACTCTCTAACTCACTCACCTATACATCTCTGCTTTTATTCTCCCTTCTCACTCTCTCAACTCCCTTACCTCTCCCTTGTATAGAAGAATTGTTGTTTGGCACTCTCTAGTTGGAAGGCCTAACTCTGTGCTTTTTCTTTGGTTGAGAAGATGAGCTTGCAAGTGTATTGGTTGGTGGAGGTGGTGGTGTTGGTTCATGTCTTGGTGGAGATGGTGGTGTTTCCTGTCTTGGTGGAGATGGTGGTGGAGGTGGTGGAGAGGGTGGTGGTGTTTCCTGTCTTGGTGGAGATGGTGGTGGAGGTGGTGGAGAGGGTTGTGGTGTTTCCTGTCTTGGTGGAGATGGTGGTGGAGGTGGTCGTGGTGGTGGTGGTGGTGGTGGAGAGGGTGGTGGTGTTTCCTGTCTTGGTGGAGAGGGTGCTTGTGTTTTCTGATGTTCTGTTCTAGGGTCAGCTGCTGGTTGTTTGGTGCTCTTTTTTTATGTTGTTTTCTTTTTCTTGGGTGTCATTTCCTGTCTTTTAGTTGGCTGTTTGGTAGTAGGTGATGCAGTATGGGTAGCAACTGTTGGTTCAGGTTCAGGTTGTGAGGGTTAAGGTTGAGAGTTTCCTGGGAAACACTCATCATCTTCTGCAGTATCAAACACTCTCACATACTCCACCCCCAAGTCCTCTACACTAACTACTGGCACCTTAACATCAACAGTAAATTGATGCTGCTCCCACAACTCCCTCTCAACTTGCACTCTTTCAGCTTCCCTCTGATTCTTTTCAATATCCCTCTGCACTTTTTCAGCCTCTTCCTTTAATCTTTTCTGCCACCCCTTTTTAGCAGCCTGGAATACAATCCCTGGCTCTTTAGTTTCTTCAACCCATATCTCAATAGTATCCTTACCCTGATTCCACTCCCACATTTTCAACATATCAACATCATCCTGAAGCTCAAACTTCCTATTTGTCCTAGGCTTATTGACAAACAAAGAAAAGAATTGTGGAAGAAACACATTCTACTTCACTGAGCACTCAAACATGTCTTCATATAACCCCAATAGGTGACACTTATTAGTATCTTCAACCCTAACATGAAATTCCTGAGACTTATCATCCTTCTTACCATGGACTAACAACCATACTCCACTCATCCTATATACAATAACATATTAAATCACCAATTACATTCCACACAAATGAAAATAAATGAAACATAACAAAACTAAACAGCAACAGGAAATCAATAACATAGTTCAAATACCCTAACTCTAGATCATCAAAATCACTTAAATCTACCAAAATAAATTACGATAATCCAACATCAATTAACAAAGTAATGATATCAATAAAAGCAACAATATTTCATATAAACACAACTGATTCTCAAATCCATTCAAACCCTAAATTGTGTGAAATATTTTTACAAAAGATTGCAACTTTAAACTTCGAAATACAAAACGATAGAAGAGAACTTACCTTACTTGCTGTTACACAAGCCCACCCTTTGAATTTTTTTGAAATTTTCTTTCACCAACCTAACGCGTTTATCACACCTTCAAGAATCCACCTTTTTTGCCCGATCAAAACAGCAAATTTATCTTGGGCTCTCACTTTTCCCAAAACCAGACCATGCAACTCCTTCTACGCGAGAATTCAGTGTAGAGTTTTAATGGAGAACGAATGAAGAACAGGGGAGAGATAGTGAGAGAGAGATGATGTGAAGGGGGAAATAGGAAGACTTTTGGTCTTCATCAGTAAGTCAAGAAGAAAATGGCGCACACATTAATTAAGGGAATAATGGTAAAAACGCACTAACGGGGAGTTAACGTCAGTTAGGTAAGAGGGCATTTAATGCTAATGTACAGTAACTGATGGATATTTGGTGAATTTGAAAACTTTCATGGGTATTTGGTGAATAAAAAAATTACTCAGGGCATTTCATGAAATTTCCATAATAGTAATAATAATAGTGATAGGACATCTACATGTAGCAACCGGATGGATTTGTTGTTGAGGGTAAGGAGGAGCATGTATGCTTGTTATAGAAGTCCTTGTATGGTTTTAAACAATCACCTCGGCAATGGTACAAACGGTTTGACCAATGTATGTTGGGGCATGGTTTCTCTAGAAGTGACTATGATAGTTGTGTATACTTAAAGCTTTTTCTATATTCTATTTTTTTTATTATTATTAGTACAATATGTTCTTTTTTTCCATATTTCAAAGCTTCAACGTGATATAATAGCAAAGACTAGATGTGAGAAGAAAACTACTCTATTCTACATTTTATACTTACACATAGAGCGAATAACACCATATTCAACATACTTGTTACATGAAATTTACATTACACTACTATAGATATGGAATAAGATCATAAATGAACATATATTCAAAGAGTCACAAATATAAAAATAAAGGCAAATCATATGCACATCAAATCTGTAAAGCACAAATTCATTATTGTATGACTAGAAGGACAAGTGGGAGATTAAAAGGAATGGTTTCCTTTGAACAAGTGTATTATTTCGACACAGAATTCAGAATTAATTACAGAGTTAATTATTTAGTGAAGTCAAGTAATCGGAAAGTCCGGCCAAAGGCTATCTCCAATCAGTGAGATTAATTATATTAATCTCACAACCTTCCTTTCTTTGAACCCAACGGGTCACACCCAAGTGTGCAACCGAACTAAGGTGAAGAATTAAGTTGAAGGTCTTAATGCGTCAATCACGATAATTTGTACAATGACATCGAATTCCGAGCTAAGAGCGTCGAAGAACGTCAAATGTTGAGACGATTCTAGGAATTGACAAGTCGACAAAATAATGAAACAACACGCTGTGCTAGGCTCCAAGCCTAGCACGAGGCTTTGCCGTACCACATATGTGGGGAAAAGGCGTAAGTCAAATGCAATTGTCCACTAACAGTTCTCATAAGGCACAACGTGCTATTGGCCTTGCTTGCAAGCTGGGCAGCCTAGTGCTATTGCAAGTAATAGCAGCGAGTAGCTACATGGCGCACTAAGCAAGCATGCATGCTGGCAGCTCGCAGCAGTCTTACTAGCATTGCTTGCCAGCAAGCCTGAAGCAAGCGCTATCTTATGAGCCCTGCTAGTAGTGTGGCCTTTCCAACTTGATCAAAGGAAGGAATCAAGCTAAGTCAGCCTACTCCACACTTAGGTCGTGGCTCTGCGACAATTTCAGTTTTCGATATTTTTTCCAAATTTTCGCAACATCTTTTCGATTTTAGTTGTGAAAAATATTTCCAACCTTTCCTACACATATATCCTATGTTTTGTCGCGTTATGGATGATCTTTTCAATGTGTACCTTTTTATGCTTATGCTACAATGTAAATCAAAATTACGCACATGAATATCAAGAATTTTTCAAGTCTCATCCACTCATTCTAATTAAGTACTAAATTAATTAGGTATTTGTAATACATAATCATTATTAATTAGAGTGCGTATTGAATTGGGGTTTGAGGAATAAAGATGATATGGGTGCACAGGATTTTCATTTATTCTCAATTTTCTATGGAACATCAAGTATTAACACCCTGTGCACAAATATCTCAAGGTTGCTAACTATTTTTTAACACCATTTTAATCTTTATAAAATTAATGTGTGTCAATCTGATCACAATTTCCATTTTATTCATAATTCTATCATACAACATTTAGTTAAATTCATTCAAACAAAAACAAAAAACACAGACATCAAATGATATGAAAATGAATAAAACATTGAGTAGAAGAACATACTTGCCAAATCGACAAAACTGATCTTGCCTATGAGTTAAGCACATAGTACCAATTTGAGTTGACACAACATGGACAATGCAGCCTATTTGGTATCGATGAGGAAGCTCGGTCGTCTTCTGCAATTCAATCTTTGTGAGCATTTGCTTCCTGTAAATACAATCTTTGAAATTCTGAGATAAATTTCACCTTTTCTAACGATTAAATGGTTTCATTTAGTAGACTATATTATTTGCTTTAATTCTCTTCTTTTAGTATGAGCTACAAGACGTTATTTATTTATTTATTTATTATATTTTATTAATAAGTAAACAACGACAAATTTAACATTTATTATAAGTGGGTTCAAATAACATAAATATAAAAATTATTCATAAATTAACATATTACATGAAACTATATACAACCCTAGTACTTTGTCTTGAGAGCACAAAGTTAAAAGAGGCGAGGACAATGCAATTAAAAAAAAAAGTTTTTGAAAAACAAGTAAGAAAATAAATGTCAAAAAGATATTGATGTAATAACGTCTTCCCTAGTTTATAGCATTGAGGATAATTCTCCATTTAAGCTTAGGGAAGTGTGTCTACACTTTTTGTATATAAATTTATGGTGTAGGGTTGAATAACCTTGGAGGTTTTGGTATTTTTATTTGAAAATTGGTGAATTTATTTTGATGTTGAGAACCGATCATTTTTAATTATGCTTTACAATTAGGTTTACTGCCAATTTTCAAATTTTAACCTATTACCTATACCTTTTTGCATTTACATTACAACCCTTCAAATACTTTTAGACTCTAATGGTTAAGGCACTAATAAGTGGAGGGAGATCAATTGAAACATATTGAGAGGCTTAAAATGCCAAGATGTTGAGTAGCTTAAATTCTATTTATTTTTTTGATTTTCTTCTGCTTCCTTCAACAAATCATGAGTTGTCACTTTGAAAGGTGGAAACAAAGCTAGAGAGAACGCGGATGTGTTTGTTGGAGTGAAAGAGGACTGTAAGTCCCTCCTTTTCCTTTATTTTGGCAACAATTAAAATGTTGCTTACCATAAATAACTTGTATTCTTATACTCCTAGATTGGTGATTTGCTTAGTTTGAATTAGTTTGACTTGAGTTTGTTTGATTGAGGTCTTCCTCAAATTTCATATGTTAGAGGTATGGGTTAAGCTCTTACAAAATCCTTACGAGAGCATACTCATCCTCAAGACCTATCTAGGGGGTTTACATGGCTTGTCAATAGCTAAAATGGTGATTATGATTCCTACGTTAGTAAGTTAGTGTAAATTCTTAGCAGCTCTTCTACTTTTTTATGCTATATAATAAGATCATGATTCTTCCTTGATTGCTTTGGTTTTTCTCGAGAACGAGCAAAAGTTTAGCTTGGGGAAATTTGAAGAGTGTCATTCATGACACTCATAGAATAGTTTTTTAGGCTATTTTTCCTTTCTTTTTATAACTTTTATTTCAAAATAATAGTTTAGTTTTGTTCATTTACGCTTTAGTTTCATCATTTCCTTTATTTCTTGATTTCTTGCTTTTTAGGGTTATTTTCGCCTTTTTCCTTTACTCGTTTCTCTCTTGTTGTTTGTAGGTATTATACAAGAATCAAGACTTGATCTCGCTGGAAAGTTAGAAGAGACTTTTGGAGCAAGCTCACGGCATTCGAAAAGCTAAAGAAGAGAGAAAATGGCAAATTCTGAGTTTAAGCTCTTACGCTCTCATACCGCTCTCTCAAGACAAAGTGGTTTTGAATAATTTGTTAAAACCGTATCTCTAAATCCCTAAGCTCGCACTTTGATATTTTATTTCTTTCTCGATATTTTTCTTGTTTTATTTA